CCATTCTCCTCCAACTCGGTCGTGAAACAAAATGGCGGTGTTTTGGAGCTATTTTCGAGATTTCGCCGGAGCACAGAAAATCGAGGATTTAACGGAATCCAAAAATTTTTTCGCAGAACTATTTCAAATAACAGGTAGATTCGTTTTAGAGAAAAAAATTTGGGGGGTTAGGTGCACTTTAACTGAGCACCGTTGTGTACGATTTGAACCAAACAAGAGTTTTCCCTTGAATGCCATACCGATTCATTTTAGTTGGTAATATCTCATGATCAACAGTGTCGAATGCCTTTTTTAAGTCGAGGAACACTACACCATTGACGTAGCCACGATCGATATTAAACGCCCAACTGTCAGCGACTTCACGAAGAGCAGTAACAGTTGAGTGTAAAGACCTGAAACCAGATTGTTGTCTAGAGATGATTTCTTCGCTATTTAAGAAGTTGTATAACTGATCGTACACAATCACCTCGAACACTTTGGCGACCACGGAAATCACTGAGATGGGTCGGTAGTTGTTTAGATCAAATGACTCGCCCTGTTTGAGTCACCTAACAAATAGTACTCTAGGTCGAGAGAATCTAAGTTACCTTTAAATGACTCATAACTCGAAAAAAGATCGGTTGGAGAACAGGATAGTCTGTACCACGTCGTTACAAGAAAAGGCTTAGAGCTCGGCTTACGAATTTCTATAGTTCAATTTTCAAAATTAATTACGTTTAGATCGGAGCGCACTATGAAAGAATTACAATAGAAGACTTTATGTAAAATCCCTCCCCTCCACCACGTTTATTTCTATCACGACGGATAAATTCGTAGCCTGGTATATGGAGTTCGGAACTTTTTATGGATTCGTCAAGTTTGGTTTCATTATTTGCCAGAATATCAAATGAAAACTGAGCAAGAAGAACTTTAAGTTCGTCAACATGTTTGACGAGACTGTTAATGTTCAAACAGGCCATTTTGAAACCACGTTTAGCTGGTAAAGAATTAGACATATTGAAAGGACCCGAACTACCTGAATGAACTTCGTTGTCAACTGATTCTGGCAACGTTCGTGAAACTAGAGAATAAAATTTACAAAGTTCTTTTGCACTACCTCGTTACCTTCCCTGTTGAAGTGCAGACCACCTTTGTTAAGTCCTTTTGAACTGAGTTAGCATGGCTGATAATTTTCCAGTTATTTTGTTGGCAAAATTGTTTTAGACGTTTGTTTACCGCTTTGAAGGCGTCACTGTAATCATCATTCCTTGCAGTTAGTTCAGATATAACTATTTCAGACCCGGAAGCATTCTCAACCTCTCTGGCCAAGTCGACAATAGAATCAGCCACATCGCTCGGTGTAGATGATTTCAGATCGTTGGCACCCACAAGTAAACAAATTTGATCAGGAGACTTATCAATTGTAGGAACAACATGCGAACACATGTCGCGAATTGTGGCTCCAGGGAATGGCTTGACAACAACCCGATGTCCCACACACTTGGCTAGTTTTATTCCCTGAATATTCTTTATTATGGAGTCTCCAACGATGACTGTGGTCCGCTCGTTGTTTATTGTTTGGGACGCGAAGCCAGTAGAATTACGGGCAGGCAACTTTCTTCCAACTGGTATTTGTTGCTCTCTTTTATTGTTTCTGAGCATTGACTTGTTATCACGTACCATCACCCAAGGGGTTTCATCATCATGCAAATTTTGGTCCTTGAAATTATCATATCTACCATCTTGATATTTACTTTCTTTGCCAATTTCGTTGTTTAGAAGTTATAGAGCGGTCATTAAACTTTTATTTTCATCTTGAATAGATGTTGCTTCACGCTTTAAAGAATCGTAGCTGTCTTTCACGTCGCGAAGTCTGTTTTAAGGCGTTGTTTTCATCTTGAAGCTTTGACAGCTCAAAGTCAGAATTCAGGTTAGGTAATGTTTGCCGCGACGAATTAGCCTTGATCGCTTTCTTTTCATTCTGTAAATCTAATAGAAGGGGTAAGCATGGGCAGTTCTCTACGTTGTTGGTTTCGTCTCTTGCAGTGCACAGTAGCGAAGTATCAGTTTGGTCAGAGACTGCACTCGTTTTCTGGCGGGTACTTTGAAGAGATGACTTCAATCGGGAAACCAGAGTTTGTTTGTTTCCCTTTTTTGATAGATTCCTTTTAGCAAGTTTGTCTTTCAGTGCTTTGATGGTTAGATGGTTAAAATGAGTCTGATTTACATCAAAATGAACCTCCAGGCGAAACATATTTTCATATGAATAGTAATAGTAGTAGTATACTTTATTTACCCTCGGATTGTAGAGTAGCTTTAACAGCTAATGTCTCCGAGCATTTCAACAGCACAATGGGCAAAAACCAGACCACAATACCGGGAATTTCGTGCCCTGCTCTTTACGATGAGTGTGTGGGTTCTTTAACGTCCTCTGCTGACCATAACAGTGAAGATGCAGGAGACAGGGCCTACGGTTTATCGTCCTTATCCGAGAAGACTAAAATATCTAACCATTTACAGATGTCATTGCAAAGGCAGCATATTCTCCTCAGTTATTTTAAGACCCTGAGTGTTGGTCCGGTCTGGGGCTCGAACCCGCGACCTCCCGCACGGTAGTCCAACGCTCTACCAACTGAGCTAACCGGTCGGTGGTAAAGGGTTTCGCACGAAGACTTGTTTTGACGCAGAGGCAAAAGGCAATTCGGAAATGGCCTGTTATGAAACGCTGGGATTTAAACATTTTAACAAAAACAAAACCCGAATTATTGCCAAGTTCCAAAGAGAGGAGTATATTGTATGGAACTTTTAGTTTACTCACCCAGAGACCGATTCCTTTTCGATGTTTCCGTCACGATAATTGGCAGTCCATCCACTTGACTCGGATGATCCAGTCGACATGGAGTGTGCTTGTTTACAAAGAGAGTCCCGATGGCGAAAACCGTCAAGAGCATAAAGGCAAACTTTATAACAGACCTGCTCATAAATCTGCAACGCATTCTTAGAATTGATTGAAGTTCTTGAACTGCAACGGAGAAGAACATATGAATGAGCACAGGAATATCTCTAATAGTTATATGCCAAAAGCTTCCTTCTGTAGTGATTAACAATGGAAAAGGTTTCTGGAGGGCTAACAAAGCTTTCTTGCTTCCATACGAAACCTTCAAATTTTTGCAATATCAATCAATTTGCAAATCGTCTTTAAATAAATCTCAACCTTACATGGCGTTGCAGGCGACGATCGAATAGTATCCCATGATGCATCTCGTTTAGGCTTATATATCACTGCGTACGTGAGGTCATCATTTATTCCGCGCTCTCGCGATGAAGCCATGGTGTGCTTTCACACTTGTCTGGATTCCGTGGCTTCTGCTTTTAAGTATTTGAAATAAAATAATTCGCCGACACGTTTTTGTTCCATATCTATCAGTGAATGTTCTGGCCAAATTTCAAGGAAAACCGTCGATTTTACATACTCATGTAAAATGCGGGGCTTCATCGGGTGGCGGTCTCTAACGCAACCATAGTTAGTGGAGGGGACACGTTACGCGAATTTTTGGCTAGTGGAACTTGACAGATCTATAAAAAGTTAACCAATGGAAATGAAAGAAAATGCTGACACGCTTTGAGAGATTGATGCTTTGTGATTAACACTGCATAGTTATTTTGCATCAACGATCGCATTTGATACCTGATTAATTCGCCGCAATTTCAGTCGGTCGTTTTGGCGTTAACAGCTTCTACCGCCTTAGGAAAGCAGTCGGCAAAAAAGAGCATAATATTATCGAATTCTACATTTTATAACCTTTCTATTGATATATAGTTTGTGGGGGTTTCCTGCAAAACAGTGCGCGTACGAATTTTTTTCTGAAGGACACCCGCGAAGGTTTGAAGTAACCTTAATTGTTCACTCATGCAATGCTGCATTACCAAAACCTTGGTCTTCGTCTGAGTTTCTCAACTATTATGTCCATGTGAGTGCATAATTCCTTTAAACGAATGGTCTCTATCGGCGTCGAAATCTGACACTGCGCGAAAAGCCAAATATTCGGGCCCGAATTCGCTCGAACACGGATCGACGCACGCCCCGTATGCCGCAATGTTCTGACGTATTCGATCACGGCTGACTCGAAATACACCTGGAATTAACAAATAAACAAGCCCCGACTGTGCTCTGTTCTGTTGCAAAGCACGCAGGAAGCGGTAGAGCACGAAAGAAGTGTAGGGGAAAACACGAGACGTAGTCGAGTGTTTTTCCCTACTTCTTGAGTGCTCTACCGCT